TTGTCCATCAATTCGGTATATAATTGAAGGTCCCATCAGCATTATTAAATCTCTGCGAGGTTTATTATCTCCAAATAGATTCGCATTTTGAGTCATTTCACTGTGAGTGAATAATTTGCAATCTTTATCTTTAATTATGAAAGAAATGAAATATATTTTTGTTCACCGAATTTCACTTTTTTTCTTAACATATGTCCTCAATTAAGAAGACTCTTACCATGAATAACCAATCTCTCCTTACTGTCCTTACCGGATCTATCAAACTGATAATGAATATCATAGCCATCCTCATTATTCCAGACTTGAATTTTGCCTGTGATGGCTGATTCTGAAACTAATATCATTTCTCTCACTGAAAAAGTTCTTTGTTCGGACTAAAAACGAAAGTAGAAATAAAAATATTTCGAATAAAAGTTGTGGATTGTTGCACTCACGGAATTGTAGAAACTAGCATCGATGAGCCACGCTCCATCCGACACCTTTAACGGTAGATCCAGCAACTTTGTGTCTTCAGTTATTATTACCAGTCCTGTTATTAGAGTTGATATTGTAAGGAAAATAAGAGAAAGTCTTACAAGCATTTTGTTGATTTTAAATTGTATCAATAACATTACAATTTATGATATTTATCAGCACTTGGGTTTAACATTGAATTACAAATGTAACATGCTTTACATTGAGCAAGTAAAGGGTATTGAGGATAAAACATTAAGTACAAGAAGAGAGACCTCGCAATACAAAACCCTTAACATCTCATTGTTTATTGCTTTTCTGCTTAGGCAGATGGCTCTGATTTAAAAATGATTTGATACAATTAAATCAATTATCGCCAATATCTAACAATTATCAAAAATTTATTATTTAAAATCTTCAATTGGCCTTGATTTTGCTCATTACCAGTCGATCACATCAAAGCATCGCTTTCATCATCACTACCATCTGTATCAGCACTTTCAGTTTCAATCACCGGCTTTCAGCAGTACATTCGAAGACGCCAGTACTCGAGTGGTCAACATATATGTAGCTTCGCAATTTTTCCTTCATTTCGGTATCGCTTTCTATGAGGGAAAAATTCGGACCGAAAAAATCTTGACAACTTGATTTAATAATCCAAAAAATTTTAATTTAATCCAATTCAAAAAGATAATATAAAAGATGCATCACGAAATGGGCAATTCAGAACAGAATTGTTGTCAAATTCAATATAGCTGTTTTAGAGAATTTAAATTTAACTAATTTTGATATTGGCTTTCAACGTTAAAGATTTACCAGGATTGGATTTAATCATCGATTCGGGTTTGATTAATCCTGACCGATACCATCAATAAAATATCGTTGTTTAGGTACCATGAAACTTCAAAAATGCAATAAATCTTCAAGCTTCAAACCTAGTACATGATTGAAGGGCGTTTTATTAACCATGAACCAGATCATTAAGATGGCATGAAATTCGACAAATAATAAGGTACAATGAGGTATTTCATGACAATTAAAGATGTTGATATGGTTGAAATTGACTCATTTGTACACAAATCCTGGTGATCATCAGGATTGCCTAGAATCTCAAATGTAACAACTTGTGTTAACTCTCAACTGATGTTACTACATTTTGAAACTCTTCAACCATCTGTTTGATCACAATCATCAATGAAATAATTTTGAAACTCAAACAAATGAATATCCTGTTTTTTAAGTTTTTTATTATTCATCTCATATTACAACTGCGATGCAAATATTGACTGAATTTTTTAAATTAAAGATGAGATTAGAAAGATATATTAATAATGGATGAATTGAGGAAACTCATAGAGTTCGCAGTGAATATTGATGGACCACTTGGATTCTCATAGAGTTAGGTGTAAGATCAACAATTAAAATCCAGACATATTTCAATTATTAGTTCCAGGTTGCTCATCAACTTGTTTTGTCCAAGTGAAACTCTCATTCACCTGTGCGACATCACGTTTGCTTTTGATTTTTTCATAAACAAATGGAGCTGAGAATCCTAATAAAGAACCGACAACCAGAAACATCATGATTATACCAAAAGCACTTGATCCGCTCGTTCCTTTGATGACTTGGGTTTCACTTGATTCTTCATTGGTTTTGCCATTCGACGAAGTTAACAATTCGTAATTAAAACAGTAACCTCCTTCAGTGATATTTGTATCAGAACTTTTAACTGAATATTTAGTCAATGAACATGAGCTTTCCATTTGATTGATATTTCTGGGACAATAGTTGAAAGATTTACATCCAGTGTCACCATCAGTCCATCCATGACACAATGAAGCACATTGGTCTAGATTCAAGTTCATCTCAGTGTGGACCACTTCGGATACTATTTTATTACCAGTATTCCTGTACTCATGAGATACTTTGGCTAATATTGAAAAAAAGAAGAGCTCATGAGATTTCTAAAAGAAATCAATTTAAGAATACTTACGATAATATATGGCACAATCTTCGTCATACTCAGTGCTTGAGTCAGTATAAAAGCTATTGAAACTACACGAATATCCACAGTCTTGGAATGATATACAATCATCAGAGTGCAAACACTCCTGTGCACAAGAAGTAGCACTTTGCCTGATTGCAGTTGATATTTGCTTTTTGAACTTGCGGTTAGGAGCTTTTGAGTAAAATCTTAAAGGATTCATTGCGAAGATTTGACATTTTGTGTCACGCTCTTTAGATGATGGCGAGCCCGTGAAATTACTCTCTCTTAAGGCGCTTACTCTACAGTCAACGGAACTCGAATCAGAGCAGAAAGAAAAATAATTGCACTCAAGTTCCTCTGAGTTTTGACAGACTCTGAGGCAGTCAGCAAAGGTTGAGACTCCAGGTACAACTAGAGTGGTTTTGTCATCTTTTTTTAGCTTCGAATTGCCAGCAATTGTATAAAATGAATTAATATCCGACACTTTATCATGCTTTTCAAATTCAGTCACATTAACAATATCTAAAATTTTATAAGAAAAAGCTGTGGAAAAATGATAAGAAAGAATATGATATGAATATTGAATGATATGAAAGAAAATTAAGACTCGGAAATTAAATTCATGTAAGAATAAATGCTTACAACGCTGTGATTCAGGATCTTTCATAGAAAATGTTCTGAATTTGTCCCCCAAAAAGGATTTCTGAAGATCATCAAGTGCTAGTTCATGGCTTATGTGATAGTAATTCTTCAATGGAAAGATGTAGACTTTGCAAGATACTCCATTCTTGGTATCTTCTTTGAAATCCTCAAATTTTTTCAGATAACCACAGAAGGAATCTGAAGATCTCCAGATGCCAACACTGATTGAAAAAAAGAGTAAAGTCATTATTCGTATGAGCAACTCAATTCACACAGACTTGCAATTAACTCACGCAAAGAATCCATAAACATGGCCTAATTGGTCCAAGCATTCACGTTGACTACTTGCAGAGCGAGTTCTAGCCACATCGAATGTTTCGCTACTGACAAGCATGGTTTCAGGAATTATAATACCTGTAAATAATGCGAAATATTAATCAATGCGTCAATAATCTGTATGATTGAAGTCCAAGTGAATATGAATATCAACTTACCATCGAAATTAGGTTTATCAAGAAATGTGACATCGAATTCGATTTCAGATTCGGTAGAGCGATATTGAATATCATCGACCCTCAGTGGAGAGATTGGTTCATACAATACCATTTCATTTTTGAACTCTTCCCTAAACTGGTACATTCGTCTGTCAGCTAACTTTATACAATCTGTGTTACGTGCTGGAAATAAAATTCAGGAATTAATAATCCATTGATTATTTTTTATATGCATAAACAATGAACTATGTATAACATGGAAGAGAATTGATCAGTGGCTTTCAGATTCACTAACAATCATCACTTGATTCAAGAGAACAGTAGCATCCAAAAAACTGATAGGTATTTCAATGAAAGGAATTATGAATAAATAATAGTAATAAATATAAGACTTTAAATATGTCAAAGAACAATAATCATGTTTGTCACCTAGCGATTAAAGCATTTTAAGATGTAATACCATAAAAACGCGGCTTCTCAGGTGTGTGG